TCAACTTGTATTTTCTCGTTGTGTAGCCGATGATTTACCGGCCCTTTTAGAACCAACTCACGAATCAACTAAAAGCCCCTCCGAGAATCGCTACCTATTGCAAAGCGGACACTTTTCAAACTCCCTTGTATAATTTTCCACGAACATAGATTGTTGATTGAGAGCATTCAACCTAAGAGAAACATCATGCAAATAACCTCTAGGAACAAAAGCTCGACTCATGTGTTTCTTCAATTTCTCCTAAGATGTGATTTTGTTTTTCCATCAATCGTCCTACGATTCTTAAAATTCTTATATATCAAACATGCATGTTTCTTAAGCTTAATGATGCATTCAAACAATTTCTCCATAGTGCTAACCCAATCAAGAAATTCAGTAAGATCAAGATTACTTTCAAAATCCGAAAATTCCAACTAGATGTATGTCTCGGTCACGGTTGTTCTCATGGTGCCGTTGTTGGTGGTGTTTCCTTCTCCAGTGAGGAGAATGCGAACCATCTTCTCCACTTGGACTTCTCCTTCTTCTATTCTCTAAGAATTCAAGAAGTCTATCAAACTTCCTTTCTAGAGCACCCAATCTAGAATGCTCATTTTAACTTTCATCATCTTCATAAAGTACCTATCATCCATATTTGTAGATAGAAAGCTTGTATCTTTGAGAGAAAAATTCAAATTTTATGGGAATAAGGATGAGATTTTTTGAGAGGGGGAAGAGAAATTCAAAAGGTAGGATCTTTCTAGGCTAATAACCTAGGCTCTTAATACCAAATTGTTATGAAATAACCAACAAAAGAGAAGTAGAAATCAACTAACAACAATTTCAAATCAGCAAAACAAGATAATAAACCTATCTCAACAATCACCAACATATATGAAATAGGGATTCTTAATCAAAGCTAACACAAAGTAAAGCTAGGATTAAGGTGTAACCACAAAGATTACAAAGTAGCAATCACAAAGAAAGCAAATAATCACAAAGAATATGGGTATATAGAGAAAAAACTCATTGATTTCAAAATTAAGCAAAAGTTCATCCATAAAAAAATCTTAGCCCTATTTAAAGGCTTTACAACAAACCATAAAGTTCTTAAATCATAATCCTTGGATTACAAATGAAAGGCTTAGATTAAAAGCTAGCAAAAAGAAGCATAAAAGGAAAGAAGTTGTCCGTTGGAAACAAGGCCTCGGGAGTGGCTGCTCTAAAGGGAAAGAGCGGGCGCTCCTCACTACTGAAACTTCAAGTAACGCCCATAGGAGCGGACACTCTATTGTAAGGAGCACACGCTCCTTATTGGGGGAGCGGGCGCTCCTCGCGACTTCTTGGACAGATCAACTTCAAACGTTCATAATTTCTTTGTTTCTTGCTCAAATTGGGCATGTGACTTGTCGTTGGAAGCTCTTGGACTCTACTTTCACCTCCAACTTTAATGAAATGGAAATTCTTTGTAGCGAAGGAGATATGAATGAATGAAGTAGTTGTATCATACATTGATAAGTTTCTTTCAATTGGCTAACACATGGAATCCTTGGAGCTTTATTCTAAGAAAACAGAAGTTACTCAAGTTTGATGATAGTCAACCCCGAGAGGTACTAAGGAGTTTAGCACGGCTATGTGTAATAACACGTGGCATGTCTTCAATCTCCTCCACCAAGTTCCATGCACCGCATCATCGGCCACTTGTGACGTCTCTCACTTCCCTTTCCATGGGCCATGGCCATCGGTGACCCAATAGAGAAATCTTATAAGCAGCTTCAAAGGATAAATTGGAGTATGATTTCGGTGGAAGATATAATTCGTAACCCTCTTCAATGGAGAAATTAGAGTATTCTTCTAGTCACTCCATCGTCGAATTCAAAGAAAACTCAAAGAAAAAATATATAAAAATAAAGGGGATGGTTAACCCTAAAAGGGTAGGTTGTTTCTTGCTTGCTTGTGTACTTTCTTTGTCTTGGGGAATAACGAAGGGATTAGGATTTGTGTGTTGGGGGATGAGTAGGTGATTAGTTGTATTTGCTTCAACTACGGCCGCTAAATAAGTGTAAATTCTAAAATTTCATCTGCAGAAGCTAGAAGGATATGGTGACATGGTATCCTCTATAATTTCTATCTCTGACATTTGGAGATTATGGAGACGTGAACGAGATGATTCCACGTGCATGTATGCAAGCTATAGAGCCTGCATGTGAAAAATGTTGAATTCTATAATAATGGCATTCTATGATGTTCATTGACGGTAATATGAATAACGTGCATGTCAAATTAAACTGGGTGATGCATCAAGTGTGTATTATAGTAAGATATATTATATTGTGTTGTGTTTTACGTGCTGAAATGTAATCACTTTGTTGTAACCTAGTTTCTAATTTAATTTAATTGATACACTATTACAAAATTAATGTTATTGATTATAGTTGTTGTTAGCTTAATGATTGTATATAACTATATCCTATTCAACAACCAGCTAAGCACCACTTAAGTCTCATACATTAATAAATTAAATATTTGATTTTGATGTGCAATGAATGACTACGATTTTATTAAAGTTCTAAAAAAAGGACAATTAGGTTGAAGTAGTTATGTAATCCATAATACCTTTAAATTCATAATTTATAATTTTTGGGAAAAAAGAATGTAATTTTTTTTATTATTTTAAGGATTTACTTATCTGATAAAATTTCACGTGACAAGTAATAGGAGCAATAACAATTTATCAATTTTTAACTTTAAAAATTAAAGCCCATAAACAAAACAAGAAAAATTAATATATCAAAGCTTAAGTCTATAATTTTACCTCAGTTTTTCATTAGTTGACACGTTTTGACTTTAACACTATTCACACACCTCCCTTTGACCATGTTTTGTGATGTATATGTAAGGAGAAATATAGTCAAGTGAGATCTTGTTAGATTCGTCAAAATGTATATTTTCATAATATCAACGTTTTATAATTTTTGCTTATTGGTAATTAAAGATATTAATGATTTAATTTGTGCATTGGCAAACGTGACTAAAGAAACGTGTCAACTAAAAAGAAACGGAGGAAGTATCTAACATTGACATCATTGCTCCATCTAATCTTAAATAATTGTATTACTTTGATTTTTCTATACTTCATAATTCATATAAATAAGGCAAAATTAGTTTCAATACCTTGAAATATAGATTGAGTGCGTCAGTACCCTAACTTTGACTAGTAGCTAAAACACCATTAACTATTCAAGAGAGTGTGATGCGTGCTATTAAATCATTAATGACACTGACCACTATTTTTTTTTCTTTTCTCTCATTCACCCTATTAAACCTGTATTAACATTTGACTAACTTATAAGCTCCTGATTAACCCTACTTAACCCATGACATGCAAATCAAGATATTTCTCAATTTTTATTTTCTTACAAACCAGAGTATGGTAAAATATCTACTAGAGAAAGCAGTTTTCCCCTTGCAATGATTTCCATAGTTTATTTCATCCTCTCATCTACATAATTAGACTAATTTTCTCAATTTCAACCAGCTAGTGGGATGGAGAGAGAAATTATAAAACAGGGCCATCTCCGGCAATTTGGTGGCCTGTTCTAATTATAAAAATTGGGCCCTTAAATTTTTAAAGGACTATTTATAAAAGGTTTAAAATATTATTATTATAAAATGGTTTGTTTTTTTTTTTTTTTTGGTTTTTCACAACAAGAATCATATTTATAGATTGAGTCAATTCTTCAAATTTTTTTTGACGTTTTTCACAACCAGAATCATATTTCCTAATTTTAGGAGCCATAATTAAAAAAACAACAATTTATATTTCAGAATTAAAAAAAATTATGCATAAATTAAGATAACAAATATATATAGATAGATACAACTTGCTCTTTAATCAAGTAATCAACCTTTGCCCACTCCAGATCCACCGAACAAGAACAGTTCGCCAGAATATTGAGTGCTTCCATTAACATTTTTTTCCACCTTTTGAATTGAGTTAAAATTGAAAGAAAACTGAATTGTGTGTATTGCTTGATCTAGAAATTACTATATTTTGTGTGTATTGCTTGATCTAGAAATTAGTGTAAATTAATAAAATTTTGACCGTTAATATCTATTGAATCGTCATTGATTTTGATAAGAGTATAAATTGTTCTTCAATTTTGCCAAAAAAAAAAGAAAAAATTAAGTGAATTGGAGATAATTAGGCAAAATAGGCGTTTATGAATGATAATTATTGAGTGAATTTAATTTTGTTTTGGAAATCAAAAGACAAAAGAGATTGAATTTTGGATAGGAAGATTTTTTGGGTTTTGGTTTCAAAATGGAGGTTTTTACAAGGAAGAAGATGAATAGGTAAAGTAGATTTTTTTTAAGTCAATGATTTTTTTTTTTAAAATTGTGGGCCCCTGATTTTTGGGGGCCCTGTTACGTGTGTGAGGAAAAACCTCCTTAAAGCCGGGCCTGTTATAAAATAATGACGGGTCTTTCCAAATATAGTAGTGTTGCAACTAATATGAAACGGCCGAAAATAAAAAGTGTTGTAACAAATGTGAAACGGATGGAGTAATAAAAACCTGCACAAGTTTAAATCTAGTTCTAACAAAAACGACATATATAATGAAAAATGTATCTAATAGAAGGAAAATACTAACGAACGCCGCAGGGCGTTGAATAAGCTAGTTAAAAGTAGAAAGATTAAATTAAAATTAACATTAATTACACCGATCGACGCGTGATTTTATCATGCTTTCTCAAATTAATACTACTTTAGGTAATATTTTAAATGTTTATCCAACGCACTGAGAGCATAGAGTACAAAGTATTTTATATTGATTACGGAATTCAATCACAGATCTTAAATATATTTCCTAAACACCAATCATAGAAGAATATTTCTAGTCTCGCCAAAAAGGTTGTGTATTAATGTTAGTTGTGAACTTATAAATCGCAATACTTGGATTGTTAATTTTTTTTTATTATTTATTTTATGAGTTTGTTTATTTAAAATCCTATAAATTCATACCTATTTTTTCCACTTTTAACACAAATTCAATTTTAGCTGGTCACACAGCTCAACTGCAACAAACAAGTGATCATCTCTTTGCTTCTCTTCTCATTTCTCCTCGACCATATCGTCATCTTCTTCCTTCTCCGCCTTCTTCATCCTCCATTTTTCTCTCTCTAAAACTCCCTGATTACAACAATGCAGGCTCTTCTTACCCCTTCTCCTTCCCCTACTCTCCGCCCTTCGCCGCTCGATTCGATTCGTCGAAACCCCAATTCTCTATTCTCCATTTCTCGCCCATCAAAATGTAAGTCCTCTAATAGGGTTAGTTTCACTCCTAGGGCTTCTTCCCAGGTTGCTGTTGCTCCGAAACGCGAAACGGATCCTAAGAAACGGGTTGTGATTACTGGAATGGGTCTTGTTTCTGTGTTTGGGAATGACCCTGATGTTTTCTACCAGAAGCTTCTTGATGGGGTTAGTGGGATTGGTCCAATTGATCGTTTTGATGCTTCGAAATTCCCGACTCGCTTCGCCGGGCAGATCCGGGATTTCTCTGCTCAAGGGTATATTGATGGGAAGAATGACCGTCGTCTTGATGACTGTTTGAGGTACTGCATTGTTGCTGGAAAACGAGCTCTTGAATCTGCTGATCTTTCTGGTGATAGACTCTCCAAGGTTTAATTTTATTCCTTTTATTTGATGATTTTTTGATTGGGTTTTTTGAATTTTGTGATTTTAGTGGTTGATTTTTGAATTCCGATTAATGGGTACTGTTTAATTGTGTGATTGGATGTTATTTAGATGTGGGAATTGTTTTGTTTTCATAGTTTAGATTGAATAGTTTATGATTATGTCGTTTTCTGTTAGATGGTTTTATGCAGACCAAGTGTTTGATGAAATGACGGAGTGTCTACTGTTATTGAAAGTATGAGGAAAATGGACTGTCTTACGAAGTTGTCTTTGGATTATTTTATTAGTTTGATATGAAGTATATGTTTATTGGGTCTCTTTCACCTTTCAAGATAAAACTCTCATACTCTTAATATTGATGGGTCAATTTGTAGGGATTCTGGTCCTTTCTTTCATTGATTGGGAAGTTGTCATTAACTTGTAGTAGAATGTAGTTGGTGGTAAAAATAGGTTTCTTGATCAATGTAGTTGTAGCAGAAATTCCCTATTTATTTGCTACATCTACTTTTGTGGCCTTTAAAAGTATTATAACAGTCATATTATATGAGATTATTGATTGATCTTGTAGAATTGGTTATATATTTTTACAAAAACTATCTCATGACTAAGGTTCAATTTACACGTTTGATCAATCTTTAGTCTGTTATAATCCTTCAACTACCCTTTGTGAATTATTTTAGTAGAGCAAAAACATTAGGAATATGGTGCAAGTCCGCTCCTGCATTATGTTTATGAAACTTTTATGGAGGCCAAGCCAAGTATATGTAGATATTTCTTAAGCGATAGCGATGGTGGATATTGTAAGAAAAGTAAAGTATTTAGGGCACCCTCGATACTTAGTGTTTCAAACAAGCAAATCATTTAATACGGAGTAATAATGTTAAAAAAAAATCTGGGAAAATATAGTAATTTCACTTAATTCTAAAATTTCACGTCACATAAAATATGGTCTAAAACCAAATGTCTGTTGATTTATTTGTGCTCAGTCATGTTTGTGTTTTAGGCTCGGGATTGAAACTTCCAAATTTGGCTCTAATTTTTATGTTTCCAAAGGTTTGCCTTATAGATAGTACAATGGTTAAATATGAAGTATTTGTGTTTTAACAAGCTATTTGCTTAAGATTTGGTTGAAGTTTGCAACTTTGTGGGTCATAGCTGGATTTCTCCGGCTTATCTTTAATTTTTTGTATTATGTGCGTATCATTACCATGTATGCAGGGATACTTTTTTCCCTTTATCAAATACTTGCATTTGCTGTATTAATTAATCATTGCTGATATATGCTTGCAGATTGACAAAGTAAGAGCAGGTGTGCTTGTGGGAACTGGGATGGGTGGGCTCACAGTGTTTTCTGATGGTGTTCAAGCTTTAATTGAGAAAGGTCACAAGAGAATAACTCCATTTTTTATTCCTTATGCCATAACTAACATGGCTTCCGCATTGCTTGCCATTGATCTCGGTTTGATGGGTCCAAATTATTCAATCTCCACTGCCTGTGCCACCTCAAATTATTGCTTTTATGCTGCTGCCAATCATATCCGTCGTGGAGAAGCTGACCTGATGATTGCTGGTGGAACTGAAGCTGCAATTCTTCCTATTGGTTTGGGAGGTTTTGTTGCTTGTAGAGCTTTGTCACAGAGAAATGATGATCCTCAGACAGCTTCAAGGCCATGGGACCAAGCCAGGGATGGCTTTGTAATGGGTGAAGGATCTGGTGTTCTGGTAAGATTAGGTCTTCTCTTTTGGCTGCTATATCTAAAACTATATGTGCATTAGTCATTGATGATTCGTAGTCTAAAGCATGTGAATTTAAGTGAAAATTAGAATTTTTTAGATATCTATCGTTTGAATGTTCATGTCTGTAAGAAAACTTCGGTAGTGGAAAGTGGTTCAAGTCTGGGTATTTATGATGGTTTCTTTCTGGAGTAGGATCATAAACAAGCAGTACCTTCTGTTAGGAAATTGCGAAAGTCAAAAGCAGTACACTTGAAAAACTTTTAGGTAATATTGGGTATTTTGAAATCTAAACTGCAGGTCCTTTTTTTAATGAATTTTGAAATTATCTGCTGCTTCGTTGTCTTCAATAATATGCAGCCCTTAAAAATGTTGCTTAAATATAGCAAAGCATTTTTGCACTCTATGATTTGGACATTGTATACTGATATAAATTTTTAGTCAGGTGGCTCTTGTAAGATGTTATAAATTTTAGATTATCTTTTATCTTAAAACTTCTCATAAAATGCAACTTAAATTTTGTCTTCCAACTCTTATTTAGTTCCATACTCTTGCAGAATAATGCTGCTGTATATTTCATGTCAGATTCAAAATTTTGGTCAATGAAACCTATTTTCCTTATCAATTTTTTTTTTTCTTTCTGGAAAACATATTGCCGCCACTACATTTATTTGGAAACAGATGGAGCCAGGAATTGATTATCTAAGTTCACTTCTAGTTTTGGATTGATGAATTTTATATTCCTCAATCTTTGCCTGATCCAATAACAATCATGGTCTAGCTCATTGAACATGTCCATCACATTTTTGAGTTCCTTGCTAGTGTAGTTTGTTCATTAATGTCTGCTGTTCACCAATGTGGTATCTGGTATGCATGATCTTGTGGGATACTTTATGGAGTACATAATCACACCACTGTTCACTTAATAGTTGAAAAAAGGTCCCAAATCCTCTTTTGTGTGTGGTATAACCTTTAGCCATGGAAACCATATTGGTCCTTCAGTGGAAGCATTGGACACACGTAGAGTGGTTAGTGAGAATCTAGCAGTTCTGTATTCCTAAAAGACAATATCACTTAAGAGTTCCCAAGGGTTTTCATGTGTTTTTAACTACAAAACATGGGTTCAACATAAAAGTACTCTGTACAAAACAAACCTCCTTAAGTGAAAGTGTGAAAATTCGCTGCAGTAATCCTACTCGAAGAACTTAGCTTAATATCATTTGTTATTTTTAGGTGATGTAATATACTTGCATGTGTACGGCAACACATTTTTCTCTAATGAAATAAATATACTTTAAACATTCAGGTAATGGAGAGCTTAGAGCATGCAATGAAAAGAGGTGCACCAATTATTGCCGAGTATTTGGGAGGTGCAGTCAATTGTGATGCTTATCACATGACTGATCCAAGAGCTGATGGACTTGGTGTTTCTTCATGCATAGAGAGAAGCCTGGAAGATGCAGGTGTCTCACCTGAAGAGGTAGGCTTGCTTACATATGATCATAATGGTAGTTATTTTGGTTGTCAAGCCATATTCATAAGATGTTGATACACTTGATAGTCTGTAGTTAGTACTGTGAGACTTCTGCAGATGGAGAAAGTGCTTAGAATATGAGTGTTGACATCATAGTTATTAAATTTAAGAAGTTATACTGTGCAAAATTTGATACATGTTTTTATCATTGAACATCTTCAGGTCAATTACATAAATGCTCATGCTACCTCCACAATTGTTGGTGACTTAGCTGAGGTGAATGCCGTAAAGAAAGTGTTCAAAAACACATCTGAGATCAAGATGAATGCAACTAAGGTAAGACTGTCTTATGTTTTTATTCATTTGCTTGTAATTTCATTAATTTAAAATTAAACTGTGAAGTTTTTATGCGTCTGCTTTCTCATGTATAATATTAAGATCCTCATCCCTTTATATGTGTATATGCTCTGCAGTCTATGATAGGGCATTGTCTTGGTGCTGCTGGGGGTATGGAAGCTATTGCCACCGTAAAGGCTTGTACAACAGGGTGGCTACATCCAACCATAAATCAATTTGTAAGTTGTGAATCTCTCTTTATCATGAAAGGCCTTAAATTATTTTCAGTAGCAACTTCTTAATAAGCAATTGTTATTTATGCTCTTCTCAGGTTCTTGTCATTATTTATTATTGAGCCTTAGTCTGAGCAAGGACTTTTTATTTTTATTATATGGCATACTAAAGAGACTCAAAGAATCATTAAATACAATCAGTCAAATCAGAAAGGAATTTTGAAATATTTCGTTGACAAAGTAGTCTCTTTTTATGTATATATTCTGTTCCATTCATATTCATACTAAATTTCTTTATTGCCTTTCTTATCCCCATAATTGCTGTTCTGAAGCCTTAACTACACTATTCATATTAATGCAGAATCCAGAACCATCAGTTGAATTTAACACAGTTCCAAATGAAAAGCAACAGCACGAAGTGAATGTTGGTAAGATTTTCAGCCATAATACTTTTCATTATCTTACATTCCTTTCGTCTAGGAATAGTGGTCACGTTGTCCCTTCCCATGAAACCTCAACATGTTTGAATATAATTTTGCAATTATACTCGTACGTAATTCCTGTCAATTGAAATGCAAAGTGAGGAGATTTTTTACTGGTGCCTATTTATTAGGTTTCCGATATACTGCATTATTGCATTATGTTTATCTTTCCCAGCACCTCTCCAAGATAAATTGTCCGTCATTTGGAGGCATATGCTACCATAAGTCATTATTTATTTGTTTCTCTCATTCATCCAATATTCATTTAATTCCCTCCATGTACTTCAACAAATTCGACAACCTCCAAGAATCTGCCCTGCAACCTTTTTCTGTTTAGTAAGATATGTTGATGATCTTTTTAGGAGGGTATAGTTTGAAACTTAATTATAATAACATACTTTCTAGCATCCTGTAAAGCACATTTTTTTTTAATGCAAAGTTGCATACATTGTAAGTCTGACTACTATTGTTGGACAAAAATAAGAAATATTTTTTTAAGGAATTTTTTTAATGCTAATGAACCTGTATCATGATTTTGCAGCTATTTCAAATTCGTTTGGATTCGGGGGTCACAATTCAGTTGTGGTCTTCTCTGCATTTAAGCCTTGAATGTCTACGTAATGAAGCTTTCAATCATCAACTTCAATGTACGCTTTGTAATTTTCGAGTTTTAACGATTGTATTCTTCTCATTCTTCTTTACCCATTAAATAATATTGAGTAAAGTGTAGCATAGAGAACTAAATTTTCTTCATTTTTTCCCTCTATTTTTCCTTTAAGCTAGTGAAGTATTCAGCAGCTTCTTCGGTCCATACGTTGCGCGGATGATTTTGTGGCCTGTAGAAGTGTGTGGTCTTGTTATAACAGGTTGCCCCCTCTGTAGCGAACGAATTGGTTGCATGTTTACGAGTGTTAATCCTTGATAGGTTAGATAATTTTAGTTTTAGATGTCAAATTGTGCATTGAGGTGGATCTTTTGATTGAGGTTTAGTTTACTCCTTGATATGTACCTTGTCATTTCTTGGGATTCTAAGCAATTCGATTGCCTTGTTAGAATAAAGGAAATTTGTCACAAAATATTTTTGTGAGAAATGACTACATAATATAATTAAAGAATCACGAAAACAACCTTTTTCATGATTATAATCAAGTTTAAATGACGTGTGTAAAAAAAAAATGACATTAATCAATGGGTATTTTGCAAAAAACACATGATTGCTAAATGCAACCTCTACTTAGGCCTTGTTCTCTTCACCTTAAAATAATAATATTAAGTAAAAATAATTTCAGTTCAGTAAAAAAAATTTCAGTTCAGTAACAATAATTTCAGTTCAATAAAAATAAGTTCAGTTCAATAAAATTCAGTTTTCTTAAAGAGAAATTATAATAGAAAATCAGTAAAAATAATTTTAGTTTAGCAAAAATAATTTCAGTTCAGTAAAATTAATTTAAGTTCAGTAAAAATAATTTTAGTTCAGCAAAATTAATTTCAGTTCAGTAAAAATAATTTCAGTTCAGCAAAATTAAGGTGAAGAGAACGGGGCCTTACTAGTAGTTAGATTAGTTACTACTATACACCCCTCCTAAATACCCTTTTAAGCTAAAATCATTTAATTCTCTCTAGAATTGAGAGTGTTTTTTCTCTTTACTCTTTAATAGAGAAGCGTTACTGTTTCAGTTCCTTCTCCTACATCACTTTTTTTTCTGCCATTAATTCTCTCCCAATTATGACTTCTAATTGCAATTGTCTAACCCTAAATAGAATGGGAATAGGCATCCTGAAGGAAAACTATGATACTCCGGAAGATGTTGACAAATATCTTGTAGCAGTTGTAGCCAAAGTAATTGATGACAGAGTCTTTAGTGAAGTTCAACTCCAAACTTGGGTGGATAACTATTGGAAAACTGATAGAGCCATCCTAGTGAAGAAAACAAGTCATGAGAAGAATCTCTTCTTTTTCTTCTGCACCTCATGGGAGGACAGAGACAACCTAATGTCAATGGTGTCAACTTCGTATAAACGGGCTTTAGTAATCTTCAAAGGATGGCTAATGGAATCGAATGTCATGGAAATGGACTTCTCGGAATCATCCTTATGGGTAAAAGTAGGACTACCCACAACAGAGTGCCAACCTCAAATGGCTAGAAGAATTCTAGATGAATGGGTAGAATTATAAGGTTCGATCAACCCTCTCTGGATGATAGACCTCATAGTTTAATGAGGGCAAAAGTTGTTGTTCCTGTGGACAAACCTCTTGTTCCTGGCTTCTTTTATGAAGTCTCTCCATCCAAGGCTATCTGGATCACCCTTAGATACGAGGGACTGTTTATCTTCTGTCATGCATGTGGTAGAATTGGCCATAGACAACCTCATTGCAAATCTCCACAAAGTCTAGCTCACAAGGAGGTGAGTTATAGAATCAGGGGCTTATGTGGGTTGCATTATGATCTGCTTCTTGCGAGACCCCCAGTTCCATTGTACTCAAAGAAGCTAACGAGTCTACCTGATATTGAACGCTTCAGAACTTCAAGGGTAAATCTCATAGTGTATCCCCACCCAAGTCCTGCTTCAGAGTCATCATTACATACCCCTCCTAATCCAGAAGAAGGTGATAATTTAGGAAGCAATAATTCAGACCAGGACCAGCATGAGGATGACTCTGGCTCTTCAAGCTCTTTCTAATTCCTCAAGTTCTGGCCAGTCTGGACCAAGCAACAGAGCTCTAAAGAGGCTGGCGAGTGAAGTCCCACCCAATGAACAGAATGTAGAGCAGAGTTCAATGAAAAGAAGGAGAAGCATCGAAGAGGTAGAAACACAAATTCCATCCAAATTAGCGCCAGGGAATACACCCAGTAATGGCATACCTTATTCAGCTTCAATCAGATCGAGAAGGGGTATTTCTGATATCCAGCCTATATTCATTCCAAGCCTGCAATCCTAGCGAAATAGAGTACTCGTGTGGAAATCAATCATGCAACATATTCAGGAAAGACAGGGCACAAAGAGGAAGTTTGCCACACCTTGGTGTAGATAGTCGGATTCAGGAACAACTTTGGTGAGCAAACGGAAAGCGGGCCGGAGTGTCTTAGGAGGTTTGAAATTTGGAAACTTTGAACCTGGTTCGGTTCAAATGCAGGAGAAAAACCCGGTTCATCCTGAAGGGAATGCTCCCAATCAAAATTTTCCACTATTCAAGTCATGCCACGTGGATCCAGGTACCCCTTTTAATCCTTCTCTAGCAGCAGTGTCTTTAATGTCAACGCTCAACCCCTACCCTCTAGTTGACCGTTCTCTCTTCGCCTCTTCTGGGGATCTGACACGTAAGGGACCTCGAGACACAAAATGGTGGTTTCCTTCGTCTGAGTCCCTCTCTCTTCCTGCTTTATTCTCTCTCCATTTATATTTCAATTTTTTAGAAGCTATCATTTACTCCCCCTTACCTAAAAGTTTTAATGACTTTCAATGTTTAAACTCCCCTATTATTCCCATTTATTCTCTGAGTTATAATGGTTTCCCCCCATTTTTTAAGCATAAAAACCCCACCACTCTCATCTATCATTATCCATTTCCACTTCAGACCCAACCACCAACTGCTTTTACCTTTCCAACCATGTCAACTACAAAAATGGAAGTTGTAGAGGATTTTTGAGTACTTTTATGTCCCATAGACAAAGTTTATACCAAAAATCCCCTGCTTGACCCTTTTAGACCAAAAGCTATCCTGGTTGACCCAATCATTAGGGATATATAGTTTTCTTTTCCCATCCTAATGGCTAACCCATCTGAGTTAGAAACCTACCGTAAGACTCAAGCCACCCACTCCTATGTTTCATTAAGCTCCATTATGGGTGACTCTTACGCAAAAGGGGTGAAAATAGCTACCAAGACTGCATCAACAAACCCTGCTCACTGTTGACCTAAACTGAAAGGTCCAATGGTAGCTTCCTCGCCAAGCTCCTCGAAATTCTCCATCTCCCCTCAATCCCCGAAGAAATCAAGCCCTGACTCCTCGACGTCGATTGACTCTTTCAACACTACAGCGCCGTCTTCCATTTCCTCAGCCCCCATGGAGCCAGGTCTCAAGCCGGAGAATATGGACATAGACTCAGGGCATGAGTCCTCGGATTTTGAGCTTGAATACTACACTCATGAGAAAAGAAAAATGCTATACAAAAGAAGAAAGGGGAGGATATTCTCCGAAGAAGGTTCTAGAAAGAAAAAGTGGAGCTCAAGAGTAATGAAGAACATGGGACAAAAAGGGGATACCAAGAGGAATGCTCATAAGCGACCATCTAATGAAAGAGGAATCAGGTCTGGTTGTAAAAGGTGCTGGAGGAGAACTGAAAAGCACCCGGGGAAGTAGCAAGAGGTGCAAGATTGGACTAAGTAAGGAGGATGACCTTTGGGAGAAATTTGAGCAAGTAGAAGAGAACAACAACCTGAAAGTGAGAATCCAAGTGCTGAAGATATCCGCAAAGGAGAATGTCATGGGATTGGATGATGAGATTACAAGCAAGGAGATGGATGTGCATGAGTTTGAAGGCACAACTTGTCCACAACCTTCAGAAGGAAAATGAATTGTCTGAGTTGGAACTACAGGGGAGCAAGCGATAATAGCTCCCCAATTTTCCCTATTATTAAGATTATTTCGGCTAGGTTTAACGTAGATTGTATTTCTTAAGTGAAACTAAGTGTAGTGTTAATTCTCTAACTTTTGTGTTTAGTAGGATGGGTTTTAATGGTAGTACGGGGGTTGATGCTTTAGCCAACAAAGGGGGTATGTTTCTTTGTTGGTCAGATAGGGTGAATATTGATATCGTAGCAGTCTTGTCGAATGTCATTTTGTGTAATATATTAGTAGCAGGATAAGTAACTATTACCTTGCTTTTGTTTATGGTTCCCCTTACCTTACTCTTAGAGATAAGGTCTGGTCTAGTTTACAAGACCTAATGATCAGGTTCCAAGGCCAATTTATGCTGATAGGGGAATTTAATCAAATTGAAACCAGTACTCAGAAGATAGGGGTTCATACCCTTATCCCAAGCAGCAAAAGATTCTATGAGTGGAAGATCACCAATGAGTTTCTGAGTTACAAGTAGTAGGAAACATATTTGCCCGGTGTAATAACCGATTTCATTCCCCAATTTATGTGCAACTCGATCGTGCCTATGCCAATAGCTCATGGAGATTATCCTTTCCAAACGCAAGAGTCTAGAATTTACCTATAATGTTTTCTTACCATGCACCATTGATTTTAGAAACTGAACGTGCTCCTACGAATAAGAAAACACCTTATAAGATGGAAACATGGTGTATTAAAATGAAGGAAATACATGAGTTAATCAGTGGGACTTGGAAAGAACATATACAAGGCTCCCCCCTATTTAGAGTACAAAGAAAGCTGAAAAACTGTTTAAAAGAAGTAAGGGGGTGGTGTTTAACGAAAAGCAAGACTCGGTTTGGGATTGATTGGAAAGAGTTAAAGGATTCTCTTGATGAAATTCAACCACGTGATGCTTCAACCGATTTAGCAAACTTGGGAAAGGAGATAGAGCAAAGGAAAGCTTTTGAAGAGGAGGCAAGCATAAGGTGGTGGTATTGGAGACAACGTGCAAAGTTTAGATTGGATGGACTAGGGGATAAGTCAACGACCTTCTTCTATAAGAGTGTGAAGGAAAGACAATTAAAGGTGGATATTAGAGCTTTGGAGGAGGATGGTCAATGTATAATAGATGGTAAGGAGATCCAATCCAAATTCCAAAACTACTTCATGGACCTTTTCAAAGATGGAGTCCTATAGGCCCAGGCCCAAGAAGTGAATAGCAAAACTAAAGACTGGATTTCGGGCCTTTAGAAACTAACAGAGGCCCATCTCCTAAGCCTAAACCGCCCATTTACGGAAGATGAAATAAAAAGAGCGGCCTTCTCCCTCACCCGTTGAAATTTCCAGGCCCAGATGGCATCCCTCCCTTATTCTTTCAAGAGCATTGGAGTTCTATAAAAGGAGATGTGATTAAGGGTGACCAGCATTTCTTTGCTTTTGGAACAATGCTCTTAGA